CCACCACCACCATCATCATCATCATCATCATCATCATCATCATCAGTATCGTGTTCGTCATCATCATTGTCAGCATCATCATCAGCATCAGCAGCATCATCATCATCATCGACGACGTACGGGCCAGACCCGAATTCCAAATAGGTCACATCCACCACGGGCCAGAGCCAGACCCCAAAAAGGTCTCGTATACCCCCGCCACCGTCGTCGCCGCGGCCGTCGCCGTCGTCGTCAACGTGGCGCCGTCGTGGTCGCTGCCGTTGTCGTCGCCGCTGTCGTCGTCGTCGTTGTCGCCGTCGCCGTCACCGTCGCCGTGCCCGTCGTCGTCGTCGTCGTCGCCTTGGGTGGCGGGCTTCTGAACCCCACCCAATATTTTTCGACGGGGGGCGGTTCTAGAACCCCCTCCTCTCGTTCTGAGGGTGGGGGGGTGGGATTTGACCCCCCCCCTGCCCCATCCCTGCCGGCAGCGTCAGAACGCGTTCTTCCAGAGAGATTCCCCAAGGCTTCAAGGACTTCCTGGGAAAGATCTGAAATATTTTAGGGCGGGGAGGACACAGAGGTAGGAGGAGAAGGAGGAGGAAAAGGAGAAGCTCTGCTCACCGCGTGTGATGTCAAAAGGTCTACTGGCGACGCTGCAGACACAACTTCAGGGGCAGAACTGAAGGCTCGCCCTTTTCTGGCTTGCCCGCCTTGTGGCTCAACTCGACCATCTTGTGCATCTTCGGGAACTGCATAGAGTTGCCGGACCATACGGCTCCGTTCACTGCTGTGACTGTGTCGCCGACATGCACTTGGTTTGTGGGATTCGCCTTGTTGAAGACGTCAATCGGGCTGCCTGGGGAGATCTTGCTGACAGTCATGTCGCTGGCTGTGGGGGTGTTGAAGTTCTGGTCAACCATCGTATAAGCCACCAACGGATCGAGATCGACCTGGAGTACCCTGGGGACCTGAGCATCAGTTCCAAGGAGACTCGGGGGCTTCGTATCCGTGAGGGCCTCAGGCTGCGCCTTCGCCTTCCTGGGACGCCGGATACCAAGCTCAAGGAAGGTCGGCATTCCCTACTTCTGCTCTCTCAGGATCCCGAACTGCTTCTTGAGGTGGCCAATGAAAATCTCGTTGCGATGCTTCCATCTGAAGTCGCAAACCTTGAAGATCTCATCGCCGACCTGCACGGCCTTGTCTGGCTGCGCCCTGTTCCAATACTCCACGAGGCCCACACAGCCTGTCTTCAGCACGACGAGCGGATCGTGGTCCGATTGGCTCCACAACTCTGCTCCAATGGCAGCGCCAGGATTGGCGAGTGTCATGTCCAACTCAACTGTGAACCCCTTTTCGTAGGTATTTTCGTGAACCTTCTCCCACTCCTCTGTTGAGAGCGTCGACATCGAAACAATCGCCTCACTGCCCGCCTCGACTTCCGCCCCTGTCTGGACGCGAACAAGAGCCCGCGCAGGAACAACCAGCACAGCGAGCAGGCCACGAAAAATGGCGCGAGACCATCGCAGCTGCTGAAGCGCAAGTGCGCCAGAGACCAGGCTTGTAGAGTAGGGTTCGCGCGTACTTGAGCCAGAGTGCTTTAGAGCCGAAATGGCCACGGAGGAGGCAGAGGAGGAGAAACAGCAAGAACATGGGACCAGAGGAAACCCAAAAGAAACATCCACGGTGCTGCGGCACGCCCCCCCGGTCCCAGGTACACTCCTGATGAATATCCCCCCCCCCTCCGGGTGTTCCTCTCCATTCTGGGAAAAGCGCCCCCCATTCGGGCGAAAGCCCGCCTCGTGGAGGACCCACCCTCACCCTTCCAGCTGTGGGACCTGCAGAGAGGCGGGGTCACAAAGGGCAAGGAAGCGTCAGGCGATGGCTATGCTTCGATTTGTGTTGAACAGGGCCCGCGCCGCACAAGTCCAAGGCGCTTGTCGCACGCTGCTGCGAGTCTCGAGCGAGAGCCCGCGTTTAAAGGGAGCCGCCCTCCATCTGCAGAACTGTTGCACACATGCGAACTCCGGGCAACGAAGATGAGAGGCCTAGAAATGGGCACCAGCACCAACACAGGAGGTTGCCTCCGCATGAGGAAGATGATCCTAGATTTCGGTTTTGGTGGCAATATTTCGGTCACCTTGGAAGCCAGAATATTACCACCAACACCGAGATCGCGATCTTCTTCCCTCCGTGGAGGCACACCGCCGATATTGGTGTTGGTGTCAACCTCTAGGCCTTCGAAAATCCATATTTGGATCCACACGTTGAAGACGAAACGCCCTCCATCCACGTAACATGTGACTGCTGCCAGCTTGCTGACGACGAGCGTGCGCGGCGCCAACGCGAGAGGCCTTTTAAGAACGACCTGGGCTCCATCCGTGCAACCGTTGGAGATTTCCTCCTCCTCCTCCTCCTCCTCCTCCTCCTCCGCCTCCTCCTCCTCCCCCTCCTCCTCCTCGTCCTCCTCCTCCTCCTCGTCCTCCTCCTCCTGCTCCTCCTCCTCCTCCTCCTCCTCCTCCTCCTCCTCCTCCTCCTCCTGCGCCCTCCTCCTCCTCCTCCTCCTCTTCTCCTCCTCCCCCGGCCCGTCCCAGCGGCACGTCTGGCGGTGTGGAAGGGAGGAGTTATCTGGAAGGAACCGGAGCGGGCGAGGGAGCGGAGAAGAAGGGGGCAGGAGGCAAGCTGGGCGCGCTCTCGCCACATCTGGCATCATGCCCAGCCCACCCGGTCCTTCCCGCTGCGCTGCTGTCCCCATTACCCGCCGACGGGTGCCGCAGCGGACCTGGAAGCCCCAGAAGGACCTATTTGTGTCATACGCTGTCAGCAAGTCAGAACTGCGTACTATTAGAGGTGGACGAGCAGGAGGATGAGCAGGAGGAAGAGCAGAAGGAGGAGGGAAGAGGTCGAGAAGAAACATCAGCAGCAGAAGCAGGAATGGGAGAAGCAGGAGGAGTAGGATGATCAGAGGAAAGCGGGGAAGAGGAATGGAGCGGGGCAACAACGATGAGGAAGCACTCTGATCCAGAAAAGTGGCCTACGCTCGGGCGAAAGCGCCATTCTGAACGACGGGGGCAAAACGCTGATCCTAAAATGACGCCAACACTTCAGCGGAAACACCGTTTTGAGAAACCGACATCGAGAAGCATAAGAAATATCAGTTTGTGAAATCCTGCATGTGAAAACAACACGCGGAGAGGGCCGAACGTCTTCCAGGCAGAGTCTGGGGAGGAGGGAGAGTGGTGATCCTACTAGCCCTTGAGGGCGCGAGTGGTTTAGAGCGTTTTCTCGTCCAACTACTGCTCTTCCCTTTCGGGGAGAGGTTACCCCTGCCCCTGCCCCTTCCTCTGGACCTGGATAGGGGGGTCGCGACCGATTGGGGTGGGTCGCGGGCTCGTCGCGGGCGGGTCGCACGGTGTCCAAGACGGCCTCGGCGAGAATGCAAGAATGATTGATTGTATGTAGCTGGTGGGCCCAGTGTGGCCTCCTGGAGGGAGGGACCCTAATTAAGCCCTCCCTGTCTTGGATCGATGCCATCGAAGATGGCCACCAGATGGTCCCCAAGGCTCCCAAGAGTGACCCAAGAGGGCCCCAAAAGGCCCCCAGGAGGCCCCAAGAAACCCCCAAGAGGTCCCCAAGAGGCTCCCCGAAGGCACCCAAGACACTCTAACAGGTCCCCAGGACCACCACAAGGCCCCCAACACGCTCAAAGAGGACTCACAGAAGTTTTCTAGAAGACATCCGAAGAGACTCCGAGAGGCATACAAGAGGTCTCTGGCCATTCTGCTCGCCCTCCTCATCATTCTCCTCCGTCTGCTCCTCCACCATCCACCTTCAGCCCTCCTCTCTGTACAATTACACAATGTGAATACTACTCTCCTCTCTCTCCTGGTGGCGTCTGGAAAATGTTCGCCCCCCTCCGCGTACTGGTCTTTTGCACACAAGATTCCCAGGAAGTGGGTTGTCGTTTGGGTTTGTTTCAGAATGCTGCTCTCGCTGAGGCGCTGGCCTCATATACGGGCTACCGCTCGTTCCGAATCGTGCTCCCGCTGCAACGCTGGTCTCATTTCCGCGTTTCCGCTGGTTCCGACTCGTGTTCCCGCTGTAGCGCTGGCATCATTATTCCCAACGCCATGCCACGGCATGGTTTTCGGTCCTTCCCAGTAGGCCCCAAAATCTAGAAAACGACACCCGAAAAAAAATCATTGGAAGTGGTTACACATTCGGTGCCGATTCGTTGATTGCTTCGGGGCGTCGCCACGCCATGCTATGTCAGGCTACGCGCCCTCATTTCCACGAGTCCGCGCTTGAGCTTGTTCAAACTGCTGCTTTCGATGAAGCGTTGGCCCCATCTTCGGGCTACCGCTCGTTCCGAATCGCGTTCCCGCTGCAGCGCTGGGCTCATTTCGGCGTTTCCGTTCGTTCCGACTCGTTTCCCGCTGGCGTCATCATTTCCAGCGCCATGCCACGGCATGGTTTTCGGCCCGTCTGAATGGCCCCAACATCTAAAACATGACCCCCGGAAAAAAAAGCATATGGTGTGATTACACATTCTGCGTCGATTCGTTGATTTTCTGGGCCGCAGAAGCCCCACTTTGGGGCGTCGCCACGCCACGCTATGTCAGGCTACGCGTCATCATGTCCGCGTTTCCGCGCTTGGGTTTTTTGTTCAAAATGCTGCTCTCGCTGGAGCGCTGGCCTCATTTTCGGGCCACCGTTCGTTCCTAATCGTGCTCCAACTGGAACGCTGACCTCAGGTCCGCGGTCCCGGTCGTTCCGAATCGCGTTGCCGTTGCAGCGTTGGCGTCATCATTTCCAGCGCAATATTCGTGGAGGATGTCTTGGAGGTAGATATGCATGTCGTTCGGGAACCCTTCGAATGCGAAGCACGTTTCGCCCATGCCAGTATCATCGCGCAGCAACTCTGACAATACATCTGAGTCGCGCGCGCTGGCCATCCGCGATCTGCACAAGCACATCGTCCAATGTGTCGAAGCGGAAGGTCAGAGAGGACAGCAACACGGTGGTCACTTCTTCGAACAGCTGCGACCCCAAGATCATGTTGGTGAACGTATTCGGGACGACGGCGTTTACGGTCTCGGCTTCAGCGCTCACGACCTGCACGACCTGCACGGCGTCGCACGCATGGTGGCTGGTGCTGACGCCACCGCACGAGCCAGAGGGAGCCTCAGCGGGTACACGACCTATGTTGCACGCGTCGGGGGAGCACTCGTCCCCGTAGTCCTGGATGTCGCAGTCGTCCTGCTGAACCATGGATGGGAAGAGGAGCGGGGCACCCCCATGCTCCGTGGAACCAATGACGGTGCGTCCCTCTTCGGAACCAGTGGTGGTGGCCTCGATGTCCTCAGTCGTAGAAGTGCCAGAAGCACTGTCGGTGACGTCGAAAGTTACCTTGTTCTTGTCTTTGCGGGTCACCTGGCCGTCTGCTCGGAGCAGCGTGTCGAGTTCGTCGAGAAAGTCTGACTTTCGCAGTTCGGTGGTGTGCCGCGTCCAGTTGAAGGCTGTGTCGAAATCCCTAAACTTATTCGCAAGGCGATTCGTCGCATTGCGATCGGAGCAAAGCTACCGATGAACATCCCGAGAAGCTTGATGCAAACCTTCGTAGTGATTCCCCAACGTCGACTGATTTCTTCTGGAGGCCAGAACCATGCAGGTCAAATTGAAAGAGAGAGAACAAACAAAAAATCCGCCGGCCCCCTTTTGGGGCCACCAGGCTGCGAGGCGCGTGATTCGCAGTTTCCTGTACCAGTTGTAGTTTGTAGTTTCCAGTGTTACAGTTCTGCTTCTTGCTGGTTACTGTAACTAATTGACTTCTTGCTGGTTACTGTAACTAGTTGATTGACCGCGCGAGGGGGGGGGAGGCCCAAACGGGATTTTTAGCGTCCCCTGGGCGCGTTGTCTGAATTGCTGGGGGGGCTCGAAATCGACACCCCTCACGCAGATCTGCGGGGTCAGGGTCCAAAAACACAGGGGATTTGCCACATTTCTGAAATTCGGTGCCACCCCTCACGCAGATCCGCGGGGTCAGGGTCCAAAAACACAAGGGATTTGCCACATTTCTGAAATTCGGTGCCACCCCTCACGCAGATCCGCGGGGTCAGGGTCCAAAAACACATGGGATTTGCCACATTTCTGAAATTCGGTGCCACCCCTCACGCAGATCCGCGGGGTCAGGGTCCAAAAACACAGGGGATTTGCCACATTTCTGAAATTCGGTGCCACCCCTCACGCAGATCAGCGGCGTCAGGGTCCAAAAACACAGGGGATTTGCCACCTTTCTGACATTGGGCGCCACCCCTTACGCAGATCCGCGGGGTCAGGGTCTAAAAACACATGGGATTTGCCACATTTCTGAAATTCGGTGCCACCCCTCACGCACATCCATCGCAAGGCGTGGTAACCCAAACTGCGAGAACTCCCTCGGCCCTTTAATCGCAAGGTGTGGTAACCAAGCCCGTACACCATACACGTCTTACCAATCGCCAGGTGTGGTAACCCCTCTTGTGATCAGTTGGTTTTGCTGATTGCGTTCGGCTTCGCATGAAGTTTCGATACTGCTTCACAACAGCGCCAAGGCCTCATGACTTAGCTCTTCCATGGCCCATTCTCCGAGAGAGGGGGCCGGCGGCAGGGGGCGAAGCCCTTACGGATAATACAGTCCCTGTGCCGCGCCTGCGAGAAAAAATCTCGAACCCAAATGCCCACGGAGGAGGAGGATGAGGAGGAGGAGGAGGAAGAGGAGGGGTCGGGGTGCGGCTTGGGGCTCGCTCCCGGCTCCACTCTTGAGTTGGGGCTCGGGGGTGCGGCGTGTTGCTCGCCCCCGTTTCCCGCATAGTTGTCCAATTTGCGTGGCCGATGGCAGCATGCCCAAGCATCGGGAGCGGGATGAAACTCCTCCTGCTCCTCTCCCTCGTCCGTCTCTCCGCGCACGGCTGATGGGGGCCCAAAGGAGCCAATGCAACAACCTCGCCGCGTCCATGGGCACGGTCCCGAGACGTCCCGAACGCGAGGAAGTAGCAGCACGGCCAAGCACGGTACTGGATGCAAAATCCCTTGCGGGCGCCGGCAGCCTCGCTCCAAACGTCATCACGTCTCAACGGGACAGGAGGATGAGGAGGAGGAGGAGGCGGCGGAGGCGGAGGCGGAGGCGGCGGAGGAGGAGGAGGCAGAGGCGGCGGAGGAGGAGGATGAGGAGGAGGAGGAGGCGGAGGAGGAGGAGGCGGAGGAGGAGGAGGAGCAGGAGGAGGAGGAGCGCTGCCAGGCGTCGCTCCCTCCCCCTGCGCCAGATCCCCCCCCCACCAGGTGGCGCGTCGGTCCTCTGCGCTGGGAGTGCCCCGCCCCCAGAGGCGCCTCCTGCCAGGCCGCTCCGGCGGCCCCGACGTCGAGGCATGGACGCAGGGGCGCCAGGTGCAACGAGGAGGCAGAGCCTGGCCTCCCTGAGATCCGACACTGCAACACAAATTGCAGCATCGCAACGGATCACGACGGAGCCTCGTACCGCATCTTTCTGCGTCACGTTTCGAGCTGGATCGATATGTGAGGGTCCCGGGGCTCGAAAGATTGAGACGCCAAGATCTCGGGGCTGTCGAAAGCATAGCAACACCAACTGGCTGCCACGAGGGCCAGCTAATCCCGGGAGAGCTCAGCGACGGGGTCGCCGGCAGGTTGGGCGACTGGCAAACCAGTGGAGGGGCATATGGAGGGCAGGCGGAGGGCGTGCAGCACCACCAGGGGCCGCGCCCACCTCTGCACACACACACACATACACAACACACACACACACACACCACACACCACACCACACACACACCACACACACACACACCACACACACACACACATCACACACACACACACACACCACACACACACACACACACACACCACACTACACACTACACCACACACCACACACCACACACACACACACACACCAGACACCACACACAGACATGCGAAAGCTCGGCCCGCACGGCCACAGAGAGTCCGAGCACCGGCAAGCGACACCTGGCCACGCGTGCGGCTGCCGCCCAGGCCGGCAGCGTGAGGCGGCCGCTTCGGGCAGAAGGCCGGCATCTCCTTCTTGCGTCCGCTGGCCTTCCGCCGGCCGACCCTGCGCAGACCCACTGCCTCCGACGGTGAGCCGCGCCGAAGGCGGCGCCGTCCCCCACACGGGCCCCGAGGAGGCCGGAGGCGCTCCGGTGAGGCGCGGTCCAGCTGCCGGGCCCCGAGGAGGCCGGAGGCGCTCCCCCCCGCGCGGGGGTTTCTGTGGGGGCGACGGGGCTCCTCGCGAGAGCCCTCGGGCATTCCGAGAGAGGCCGCCTGCGTCTTTGGAGAAGGCCCAGGGCGCTGCTCGGCAGGCCGGAGGCCGTCTGGGCCCTCCGAGGAGGCCCGCCCCTGCTGCCCTTCTTTCCTGGGCGCGCCGCCCGTTCCAGGCAGAAGGCGGCCAGAGGCGTTCGTTCCCCTGCAGCTGACCCTCGACGTCACGATTTCTTCCTCACGTGGACCCCCAAAAGCCTGAACCCCTTCCCTGGGACCGGTTTCTCATCCGACCCTGACCCTGACCTTCGATGCCATGATTGCTTGATCACGTGGACCCCCTAAAGTCTGAACCCCTTCCCTGGGACCAGCTTCTCGTCCAAAGTCCCTCGAGGCCGAAGCCGAGGAAACCTCTCCCGTCGGAATTTCTTTGAGCTCGAGTGCTAGGTCTGACGCATATTGGTCCGCGGGGAGAGGTGCAATAGTACGTACTCGCACTAGCCGGTGCCCAGATGCAATAATTTGCGCGCGGATGCAGTTACGTAGCTTCGGTCACACGCAATAGTCATCGCCCATGCGATAGTTCGCGCACCCCCCCCCCGCAGCGGTGGCGCACTATGGCACGAATGACTATATATAATGAATAAACGATTGCTTCTCGCGCCGCCGACCCACCTGCGCTAGACCCAAGTATAATCTTTGTTTGGGCCCGAGGAAGTCTGGGCTCGGAGGCTGGCCTGTCCTGGAAGAAAGTCACACGTCAATTGCCGCGCCGCCAAGAGTTCAAACCTTTGAGTCCGGGCGCGCCAGCGCAACAATGGAGCAAACCTATCAGATGCTGCTGGCGCACAGCCGGGGGCTCGAATCTACCTCCATCGGGCGCGCAATCCACAGCGCATGGGGAGGAGAAGCTGCGCCTGTGATTATGGCAGAAAGCAACGGTTAAAAGAAAACATCCGCTGAAGCATAAGCAAGAAAAGGCGATCCAAATCGAGGAAAGCTCAAATGATTGTTCTGTCTTGCTAGACGTGGTTACCGCCTACTGATTGTAGCATTGTCCTCCTTGAAGGAGGGCCTTACAGTGACGATATCCCTCTCGTACACGGTTGCCTCGAGGAGGGATGCAGAGAGACGCAGGTATTTGAAAAAATGAGTACGTACTCACAGAACTTGGTGAAATAACGATGGCGCTCGCCAACCCCAAGGCATCAGGCCTCGAGACCGGCCCTCAGCTTGCCATCACACGTTGCCATGGGCCTGATTCTGTTCCACGCGTGGCCGCGGTCTCATTGGCGCTCAGCTGTCGCAGACGCGCTGGCTTCAGTGCCGCTGCCAGACGGGGAGGAAGACGTGCTGGCCTCGCCGGTGCCGCCCGCGGGCGTGCTGGCCTCGGCGCTCCCTGGCGGCCGCCGCGCGCGTTGCGGCGGCGGCGCCGCAGCCCGCTCCAGCGCGGCGCGCCTCGCCTGCTCCATCGCGGCGCGCCTCGGGTGTGCACCGAGGTCTACGGGGCTGGCGAAGAGCCAGTCGTTCGAGGGGGGGCTCTGACCTGTGTCCTCGAGGGCGAAGCGGCCAAAGCAGTGGCGCGGCGGCGGGTGGTAGTCCGCACCGCGCGGAGAGCCCATGCCGACACGAGAAATTTCACTGTTTCGGTGCCTCGGCAAAATCGTCCAAAGTCGGCTCGGGCCAGAATGCCTTGAGACAAAGCGGGCCTTACACACTATGCCGTAGCGACTTCACGCCACGGGTCACGCGGGCCGTCAGCGAGGCACGCCACATTGGAAACAAGGGCCTTTGCGCGCGACCTTGCGCGGACAACTAACGCACGAATGTTGGCGCAGTCGACCCCGGTTCCCCCACTCGCTCATGCGAACCTCACCCCTGAATGTCAGATCATTTAAACGGCGGCTGGGGTTCAGAATTCGAAGGATGTCCGCAGCCAGCCATTCAGAATCCAGCGGGCGTGTCCGATACCTCAGCATGGAAAGACCCGTATGGGTAAGGTTCGCAAGTGCTCGCAAGTCTGGCATACTCTCGTCGTGAAATAACTAATGACGGATTTGTTTGACCGTTTTCTGCCTCTGTCGCCGCAAGCGGCCTCCCTGCGAACGACGAGGCTGCTGTTCGATACTTCCTCCGTTTTTACTCCAGACTCCCAGAGGCCCTGAGGCTTTCTTAATCCATGTTGAACGTTGACTGTTCAAGGACTACTATTTTGGGATACCTTACATCCGCTGCTCTCGCGCTCTCGCCTCGGCGCTGGCTGCATTTCATTTGCATAAAGGCTCACGCTCAGGCATTTCGGGGTTGCGCCGAAACCGGGCCCCCCAACAGCAACAACAACAACAGCAGCAGCAGCAGATGCACCAGCAACAGCAACAGCAACAACAACAACAGCAGCAGCAGCAACAACAATAACAACACCAACAACACCAACACCGACAACAACAACAACAACAACAACAACAACAACAACAACAATCATTTTACCCGAACGCGTGGTGTTCTCCCCAGTGCCAGGGTTTTCATACGACACCAGGCAATACCCCCACTTCGTGGGGGGGCATTACAAGCTCTACCAAATATCCAAACGACTCTTCGCGACCACCCAAACCCAGCTTCCCGCCCTATGACGTTGGGACACTTCACTTCGTGGCGTGCGGACGACCGTGGCTACTACACTGGCGTGGGGTACACACCCACAGAACCCAATGGTTTTTGGAGATTTCGGCGTGCGCGCGCGAAGAAAAAACGAATGTGTCCCGCATGGTATTATTTGACAGGGATGATGGCCCTGGCAGGTGCGCAACCGTTGTCGCAGAAGTTCGAAAAAGTTGCTCGCAAAAGCCCGTTTGACAGAAATGTTTAAAAAGTGTTGGGTTTCCTACGAATCCGCAAGAGCGCGCGGGATGAGATTTTGACATTTTTTTGTTGAAAAACCATTGGTTTTTTGATGTTTTTATGTTAAAATCGCTCCGAACACTAAGCTTTTGGAAGGATTTCGTCTTGCGCGCGCGAATGTCCACTTTACCTTATTTTTTGCAAGGGATTCTTGAAATTTGATTATATTAGAACAATTTTGTCATTTTATAGTGTTTTTTGCAAGGGAAAACGGATTACAACAAAACAACCGGATCTTGATCACCTCGAATTACCTGAGGCTTCCTCACGAAAATGATGAAAACGTGGCTGCGGCCTAGGCGCGGCGGGGGGGGCGCGCACCAGGGGGCCCAACAATAATTATTCTTTAGAATTAATAATGTTCAAAACAAAACAAAAAACAACAACAACAACAACAACAACAACAACAACAGCAGCAGCAGCAACAACAACAACAACAACAACAACAACAACAACAACAACAACAGCAGCAGCAGCAGCAACAACAACAACAACAACAACAACAACAACAACAATAACAACAACAACAACAACAACAACAACGACAACAGTCATTTTAAGACTGTTCGCCCGTAGCTGATTGTGTGGGCGATTTACGGATTGATTTCTAGTGAAAAATTAAATTAGAATTCTTTCGCGCCGCTTTTAAATAGGAATTCATATGTGAGCGGATGATAAACAAAAATTCTAGTGTGCGAATGACACATCTAATCAGTATGTGCCTTGTTTTTTATGGAATTTGTTTTATGGGCGATTTACAAATGGGTTTCTATTGTGTCGTCTACAATGAAAAGCAAAACTCCATTCCCTCAATTTCCCCCCCCCCCCCCCGAACCCCGGAAAAAGACCAGGAAAAAAAATGAGGGAGCGATGGTATAATGTGTTTTTTTTTCCGGCGATCCAAAACTTCACCTGGCCTCCATTTCAAGAAATTCCTTGTGTGGGCGATTTGCACATTGGCTTTTGTGTACATTACAAGTAGAATCCATTTGCGCAGCTTTTCAGCATTACGGAATTAAGTACGACGCAGAAGATGAGAGGGAAACGAAACATGAAGAAATCAAAGACACAAACCGAATTAGTCAAACAACTTCCAACATATTAACATACACCATTAACATGGTCCCCAAACACGTAGTCCCAGATCCAGATGTCCCCTTACCATCCTCTTCCTCCTCCTCCTCCTCCTCCTCCCGTTCCTCCTCCATTCCCCCCGTCTTGGGGTATGACGGCTTCCCCAGCTCTTTAGTCCGCTGCATGTTCCCCCACGTCCCTGATGAGGCAACTCGCCTGGGCATCGTTTCTGAATGGGCTGGTGGGTTAGGCAAAACGACTGGAAAACCATGCGCTTGAAATCCAGCATGTCAAAACAACACGCGCAAACGTCGAACCTCCACCGAACATTTTCGACAAGAGAAGGAGAATAGTATTCATAATGTGAAACTGCGAAAGAGGAGAAGAAAAGGAAATGGAGGAGCTGCATCAACTGCAACAGAAACAACAAGTTCCTTTTCCGCTTCCGCGTTCCTCCCCGATCAGCCCTGCTGCTAACTAATTTGCCATCCTCCTCCACCTCCTCCTCCTCCTCCTCCTGCTCCTCCACCTTCTCGTCATCGTCCTCGTCCTCGTCCTTCTCATCCTCCTCCACCTCTTCTTCCTCATCCTCCTCCTCCTTTTCCTCCTCCTCCTCCTCCTTCTCCTCCTCCTCCTCCTCCTCATCCTCCTCCTCTTTCTCCTCATCATCATTATCCTCCTCCCTCCTCACCTTCTACGGTTAACGGCGGAAAGGCAGCGTGCAACATCGATCTCCGAAAAGAAGGCTAACCCTGCGAGGCGATCCCCCCACGAGGATGACGACGACGAAAACGACGACGACGACGACGACGACGACGACGACGACGACGACGACGACGACGGCGACGACGACGACAACGACAACGACGGCGACGGCGACGGCGACGGCGACGGCGACGGCGACGGCGACGGCGACGGCGACGGCGATGGCGGCGGCGACGGCGACGGCAACGGCGACGGCCACGGTCACGGCGACAACGACGGCGACGGCGGCTGGCGACGGGCGACAGGCGACGGCGACGGCGACGGCGACGGCGGCAAACGACGCCGACGACAACGACAACTGACGAAGGATGACGCCGATCACGCCGCCGCCGTCGCCGCCGTCGTCGTCGACGGCGTCCGCCGTCTGTCGTCTGTCGTCGTCTGTCGATGTCGCTGGCGGCGACGACGACAACGACGACGATGACGACAAGAAGAAAAAGAGGTGCGCCCAGCCCCGGCGCAGCGCGGCCCGCTGGAGTGCCCGCCGCGGCGCGTCGGCCACGCTGCGGAGCGCGAGTTCGCCTCGCGGGCAGGAGGGGGGAAGGGGGAAGAAAGAAGAGGGGAGGGAGGAATAACACTAGTTCCATATGCTTCCAAACGAAAAACGTATTTGGGTGAACAAAAATGATGATACCGTTGTTTCTCACGCGGAGAATATCTTCTACTATCTGGACAGGGTTATAACACACAGCTGGAACGTGACGAAGTCTTCTGAACGGCACGTCATGACAGCAATTGCACAGTATGGGCGAAACAAAGCAGGAATGGGAGAACGAATAGTTCGAAAAGGAGGGTGCGTTGTTGTTTGAACCCCAGCGTCGCGGAGAAACACCGCACCCTAGGAACACCGCACCCTTTTCACATCATTCCCGCGCGAGCACGAACATGATGATACCGTCGTTTTCACGCGGAGAACAGATGCTACTATCTGGACAGGGTTATAACACACAGCTGGGACGTGACGAAATTTTCTGAACGGCACGCCACGACAATCCCAAACTCCCAACTTGAAGGGTCCACACGAGCGGGAACGGGGCAGCAGCAGCAGCAGCAGGAGGGGAGGGATCGAGAAAAGAAAAAACATATAATTTGGCACTGGATCTCAAAGGACCACACGCATTATATGAGCAGGCGGCGTGCTTGGCAACAACGAGGGCTCTCGCGAGGCTGGATGCTAAGCGACTCGGGTAGGGGCCCAGGACACGTTCTGATCATTTCGGCCAGACAGCTCTATGCGGCGGCGACGCGCACGAGGGCACACCCCAATCTTTCCAGAGCATGCACCGTGCAACGCCGAGCTGCCTTCGTTTGCCGCAAGCCCAAAGAGAAGCCACTTTTTTTTCTCGCCACGGGGTACCTCGTTGACAGAAACCTGCAAGACGCCCAACTGCATGAGCCTGACTGCACAACGCTAGGATCTCTGGGGAGTGCCACAAGCGAGAAGTGCGAGGGTGTTCCATAACCCGCTGTATGTTATATATGTCGAGGTGCTTACGGATTATGAGAAGCACGCGGGCCAGTCTATTGCCAGAGTTGAGGGCTGTTCTATCATCATCCGACGCATGAGTAAGGTCAGTTCTGAGTACGGGGGCGAATCTGGGAGGTTCTGTCACGAGCCATCGTCAGCGAGGCACAAGTCAAAGTAACCATGGCACCAAGCACTTGTTTGTCCCGTACGTCCGACAGCAGCAAGCGCAGCACCGTGCCATCGGTGAAGTCGCGGTGGGGCCGCGGAAAATGCCCCGAGCCCTCGCGGAGAACTCGAGCCTGGAGACGGCGCGGCCGACCGTCCCACGGCCTGCGAAGCGGTCGGCGAAGTGGCTGCCGCCAGAGCTCACCTCGGCACGCGCGGCGGCCCCGGCGCAAGCTCGGGCGACCACAGGAACTCGACGGGGCGATCTTCGCAAAGACGACCGTGGACCTGCACGGCCGCGGGAAGGTCGTTCCAGGAGCTCCCGAGACGAGCTGATTTCTTGTTGCTGAAGAGCTCTTCCGACTTCTCTAGCGGCCCCGTGCTCGGCACTCGCCCTGGCTCCCCACCGTCCTTGGGCGGTCGATCGACGGGCTCGAATGTCGCATCAGGTACGGCACGAGGTCGGGCACGCCCCGCACCTTGGCCGCTGTCCTGCACGCGGTCAAGAAGGCCCGATAGTCGAAGGACCACTGCGGGCCGCCGCGCAGCTTGAAGGCCCAGAGGAAGTCGCCGACCCACGGGAGCATGTGGGAAATAACGATCGGCAGAATGTCGTCCGGGTCGACTGTCTTGCCCCTTCTGACCCCTTTCCGAAAGCTGCAAGAGGGGGCCCCCGAACTGCGGCGCGCGCGAGGCTGGGGCGATCAGGCTCGAGCCCCTAGGGCAGGCAGCTCCGCGGGCCTCAGTCAGGCAGCAGCTCACCCCGATCGTCTCGCCAAGGCCTATGGCCAGCACGCCGATGGCGCACCGCTCTGACAGCGGCGCAGGATTCCTGGACCGTCCTGGAGCGAGCAGTCGCCGCCCTTCCAGGCAGCGCCGCGCTCGGGGCATCTTGCCGAGCCCACTCGAGAGCACTCGAGAACCCGAACCATGAGGGCCGCGACCAGCTCCCCCCTTGGGCTCGGCGACGGCGAGCTGCCTATCGCGCGCGCTGCCAGCGAACCGCAGCAGCTCGCACAGGTACGGCTTCTGAGTGCGGACAGGGACCGCCATCTCCTGCAGCACCGAGGACTGCTGGGCCGACAACACGGCTAGCGGCAGGTGTTTGCGACAACGCCGAGCTGCTCGATGTTTCCACTCACCACGTTCCTCGGCGCAGCTATCTCATCGTCCGAAGAAGCGCCATCGCCGTCCGCGTCGGCACCCTCGGCATTGGCACCAACCGCGACAGCTGCTGCAGCCAAGGCGGGCCCCTTTTCGGAGAGCTTCTCGAGCGACTCCGTCTTGGAGCGGATCGACTTCGGCACCGCGCGGGGCGGGGCCTGTAGGCGCGACAGCATTCGAACCCGCATCGGACCCGCCGCTGCCGCGGGCGGTAAGGAAGCCTTCGGGGCCGGTGTCAGCGGGCTCGCACGGCCCGCCTTCGTCGGTCGCGACGACGGGGGCTGCGGGGCCCGGAAGCATCGGCTCCTCTTCACTGTAATTGGGAAAAAATTGCGCGTCAAGAGAAGCCTCTCCAGCGGGCAGGTCGCGCCCTTGAGCCGGCACGTCCACTGGCTTTGGTAGATCCGCGGGCTGCATCTGAGCCACGAGGCGGGCGAAGTCAATCTTGGGGTCGCACTTAGGGTCGCGAATCCGGGAGCCCGCGCCACTGCCATTGAGCTCTGAGCGGCGCCACCGACAAGCAAACCGAACGCCGCGGGCCAGAGCGCAGGCCGTAATGCGCCTAATATGTACCAGTAGGCCAGAGCTGCGGGTCCAATTCCTTTCACAAGCTAGAACGACCGACATATTATCTCCGAGTAGTAAAACTCTGCAAAGACCACAATGAGCACAGCTACAGATTCTTGCGACAGCTCTGACCAGGACCCAGGCCTCAAGGATAAGGGCGCCCCCCGAGAAGACCCATTTGCTGCGTAAGACAAGACGCCACCTATCTCCATGCAATGGGGCCCCAGGAATCTCAGGGAAGTCATCGCGCATCTCCCAGGGGCCAGCACACCGAACGCCCCAGGGGCATCTGTCCTTACCATCGTCGATCGCCCAGAAGTTGGAATCGGGTGAGTAGGCGAAGCCAGCGGCAAATTGCACTCGCACGGGCAGGCGCTCCACTCAGACAACGGAAGCGTGATCGTTCCAGAAGCCGGACGAAGAACAAATCCCCAGCGGCGCGGGCTGGCGCCCACGGATAGCACCTGCGACAGCCACGGCCGATCCCACTCAGATCGCAGCAGCGGCACGAGGCCGAGAAATGCCTTGAGCTCGCACTTGACGGGGCCCCAGACCTCGCCCTTCGCCCAGTGCCTCTCACGGATGAACACGTAGGCCGCGCGCCACACCGAGAGGCTCTCCTGGCACAGCAACCGAAGGAACGCGCAATGTCCGAGCAGCACCTCCAGCCCCCCAGCAAAGCGCCGAAGAGCGAGGGGCCTAGCGGAGGGCCAGGCGCACATGCCAGTAGCGGCGGTGGGTCGCCGGGGTCTGGCGACACTGGCCATCGAGCCGCACGCCCAGCGCCTCGGCGGCCTCGCTGTTCACGGAGATGTCACGCATGTCGAGCCCGAGCTAATTGAAGGCGTCGGTCGCGTCGCCGAGGGCGCTCCGCGCGCGCGCGGGGTCGACGGAGAGCAGGCCCACGTTGTCGACGCAGACGCAGTGCCAGGCCGACTTCGGGGAGATCACGATCGGGGGCCCTCGGTCGGCAGCCGCGCGGCTCGTCGCGACCGCGGGCTCGCTCTCGACCACCCGCCAGTCGGCGACCTAAGCGAATCACATGGGCCAGGTCCAGCCCGCGGGGAGAGCCATCGCGCCGGGCCAGACGCAGTCACCCGCGCGCACGGGGGCCCCGTCAACGTCGCGGCCGACGACCCAAATGTTCTTCGCCAGCCCACAAGGGTCGCAGTCCTTGACGTCGGCCCTGCCCAAGAAGATGGGCGGCGAGGCGATGCTGGGCCGCCCTCGCACTCGACGCGACCACGGCCCCCGGTCGAAAAACGCTCGACGCCCGGAGGGCCTACGAAGCGCCGGCTGGAGCGTCGGCAGCCCAGCGCCACCCTCACGGAGAGCCGCCCCGTCTTCCACGCACAAAGAAGACCCCGACGAACTCCGTGGGATGACGCGCGAAGCCGACGAGCTCCCCTCGCTTCAAACCCTTCACGACCGCGGAATAGCGGCGGCGGCCATTGGCAAAAGGCGGGTCGGTGGGTATCTGAATCTCGCAATAGGTCTCACGATCAAGCCGGACCTCGTCAACGGCCCCGATCATATGCTCCCCCGCCAGTACCAGGCACTCGCGGGCGCGACCGACGACGAGGGGGCCCGTGGAAGGGGGCCGTAGGGACATCGTCGGGAAGAAAGACCGCGCCACGTTCGTAGTGCGCCAAGGTAGCATAGGCTGTCTCAGCGCCGTAGACACCGCGGCCTCGCTGCAGCCCAGAGTAGGCCTCTTTCGGGGTGAGATCAGGACGCGGCCCGCCGTAGAGTTGGACCCCCAGGGCAATTCGCACAAGAACCTCCTGCTGAAGTTGAAGATGGCAAGGGTGCATGCACATCGGCCTGAGGGCGTCGCCCAAGCTCGCGATGTCTGACTCCCCACATGCATGTAAGAGACCGCGCACGCTCTCGCCAATCCCGAAGAAACCGACGCTGGGCACGACCAGGAAGATGGATCTAGAAGTCCTGCACAAGCGAGACATCGTCGGGCAGCGGGCACAACCCAGCGGATCCGCGCGCAGGCCCTGCGAGAGAGGCGACGGCGGGGGGGCCGACCCAACCGCCCAGAGACACCGCGATCACGTGGCCTCGGCCCGTCGGGAATCTCCCACCCCCCTCGGCGGAACCCTTGGATCCCTCGGGCTGCCCCCTTGGGCTGCCAGATCCAGCGCCAGCGCCAGCGACTGGCAGACCACCGGCAGCGAGTGCGTCAGCCGCGGCAAGTAGGATCCTGGCGCGCGACCGCATGGACTCGACCAATGCCTCGCCCTTGCCCTTCGCGGGCGCGGCGATGTCCACCGCGGACCCCGCGACAGGGCGCAGGCGAGCGTTCGGCCGCCGAGGCCGAGATGGGCCACCCCAGTTGGCGCCCACGATGCTCGGGATCTGGCGCTCGATGATCTCGAAGAAGATCAGCGACAGCACATCGACCTGATCATAGGCGCCGCCAACGAGGATCGCCTCGCATAACACGGACAGCCCCCGACACACCCTGCCCCCGCGGCCGATGTTCTCTGAGCAAGCCCAATTGTCGAGCCAGGGCCGGACGTCGCCACCTTGTCGGTCGGCGCGGCGCAAAATCCACATCAAGCTTGGCGGGCCCTCAACCGGGCCGTCTGACTAAGTTGTCGGGTGACTCTCGTGCACCGCGCTTGGACACGGCGCTGGTCGAGCGGCCATCGCGTCGGTATCCAATCGCAAACTCCGCGCGCCCCCCGGATCAGCCGCGGCGGCATCAACGGCGGCAGGCGGTGGATCGGCGCCTCCAACGGCTTTCGCCCGCTTGGTCCTCGGCGCGCCCCCGAGACGCGCAGCGCGACCGTCGGGGACAGCTCGACTCGCCAGCTCGAACGCCGCGCATCTCAGCGCCGCACAGTCACCGACCTCCATCTCAGGCACCAGCTGCACAGGGCAGATCCCCGCCGTTGATCACGACGACGCCGCGGCAGCCGCGGCGGCGGTTGACGGCGGGCGCCCTCCGCCTCGAAATGGGTCGGATCGGAGGGCGCTTCGTGGTGGGTGCCCACCACGCGCAGCTCCTCGATGTCCGCCCTGGCCTCGGCGACCTGCACACGGGGCCCCATGTCCGAAGGCGCCCGATCGAAGACCGCCGTCTCAACGACGTCATTGTCTGGCGACAACCGAGGGGCCTGGCCGCCGAACAGCCGACGCAACATCCACCAGTCGGGCCCCTCGTCGACACGCGCCCGACCTCTTGGAGAGCATACCACATACAATCTCAAGCGACAAGGCCATCTCGCCACTCTCTCGCGGAGGTAGCCCGGGCCAGCGGCAAGCGACACGGGCAGCCGGCCCCCCGACAGCCACACGGGCCCCGCTGAGAAGGGCACGAGGGCCATGGTCCTGACATCGACCTTCCTGCGCATAACCGAATAAATCGCGGCTGTCTCCACGAAGGCGAGCGCGCCGAGCAAAACCGCCTTTTCGTCGATCGACCCTGCACTGCCCCACGGCGCCTCGGCCCGGACCGCCAGGGGGGCGGTCGGAGGCGGCGCGGCCTCCGCACCTGCAGGCCCGACGGGCGGCGGAAGCGGCGGCCCCGCGGGCGCCGCCGCGCTCCGGCAGTCGCAGGTGGCCCCCCGCGGAGCGCGGCCGCAGCATCTCTCGGTGAACGAGATGTTGAGATCGGGCCCAGCCGCGCTCGCTGCACGCGCGCGGCCAGCCAACCAGAGGACGAGGGGGCCGCCACTGAGATCCAGGCGATCAGAAGAACCTGGGCAAACGCGACGGCCATCGAGAGACGCCTCTGCGTCGTTGCACGAGCCCCAGCGGCTACGGAGGAGCACCGCCATGAGCTAAGCCTGAGAATGAAGCCCACGGAAAAAATCCCTCGCATCATTCCAGCGCACGCACTAGAAGAGGAGGAAGGCGGAGGGCAGAAGGGAGAGGAAGGAGGGGGGGCGAGGGGGGGAGGGGGGGGCGAGGACGGAGGAGGGGCGACCATAATCACGGGGGTCGGCGCAAACGACGGGGAGAAGAACACGGCGGCAACAGCCATCAACAACATGGAAACTGCCGACCCGGCGCTCGGGCCAGAAGACATCCACGCATCCGCTTCGACTCGGGAAAGCGCGGGCGATCGAACAGCTCCGTCGGAACCAAGCACCGGAGAAAAACAAAATGCTGGAAGTGTCGGGGCCCCGCGCGCGTTCCCAACCTGCCCAGAACACTCGGTCGCCATCTGGGAGGCGCCAGGCTGGCGGAGCGGGGGCTCCGACCGCGCTCAGTGAACTCGCCCGTGCTCTTGCGCGCGGCATCGAGCAGCTCGCCTGAGAGAATGCGGGGCGCACTGCCAGGCGCCGCGTCTGCGATGACCTCGCACCGCGGACGGATGTCCGAAAGCCTGCTGCCCGGCGCCCAAGCTCGGCGCGGCGCGGCGCCGAGGTCGCTGGGGGCGAGGAAGAAGATGGAGCCGCCTTGAATTACACGCTGAGGGAGGGAAGAGGCCGAGCCACCTCGAGGGCGCGCGGCCGGCCCACGCTGCGCCTCTCTCCTCGGCGATCCAGCCCCGACCTGAGCCTTCGGGGGGCCGCCGAGGCTTGCCGCTCGCAGCTCCTCGGCCCTCGGACTCAGCCCAGCCCGGCGGTGGAGACTCGGGGGCGCCCAGGGTAGCGCGGTGAGCCGCTGCATCTTGGGTCTTCTCGGCATTGAGGCCGCGGCGCCCGGTCTTTCTCGGCCTGGGCAATGGCGCGGAGGCCTTGGGCGACGCGGCAGGCCCACTAATTATGCGCGTCGCCCTTGCTCGACTGGCCGCCGCCGCCGCCCTTGCCGGACGCGCGCCTCGCCTGGCGAGCCGATGGGCGCGCGGGCGCCCGTGCCCGCGCGGAAGCCCAGCGGGGGCCCCCGCCGCTGCGCCTCGAACTCGCGGCGGCAGCGACCTCCGAGCGGGCGGCGGGCCTGGCGGCTAGCGGCGGCCCCCGCGAAACCGATCGCGACCGCGGGCGCAAGACCACCTCATATTGGTCGCCGCCATCCACGGGGCCCAACCCATAGCCAGGCCACGGGACCCCGGCGACCAGGGCTCAGCGGCGCCTGCAAGCCTCTCCGCCCGATGACGAGAACGCGCCGGCCCGGCGCTGCGCAAGGCGCCGCGCGACGCGCGGCGCCTCTGGGCGGGCCCCACCACCTTCAAAAGCGGGGCGCTTGCGGGGGCCCGCGCCTGTCGAGCGGATCACCCGCAGCCCGCGGGTCAGCGCAACACAGAGGCGTTAGCCCATCCAAGGAGAGTGCTAAGCGGGCCGCGTGCTCAGGAAGAGGCTGAATAATCCCCCATCCACGGAGGAACTTTGCGACCTTGATGACATCGCCCCCCTCGGACTGCACGAGGGAGCGGCCTGATCTCCTCCGCGCAGACGACCGCGCACCGCTCGTCGCCGGTGGTGGCCTCGGGTGGAGGAGGCGTCAATGGCGCCGCCGGCCGCCACTTACTTGCTCGGCGCCGTCATCGCCGCGGGCGACCGCGCCGGCACTCGGGGCGCCGAAGGCAGCGGGGTCGTCGCCGCGGACGGCCGCCGGGGGCCCGCGGCGGCGCCGGCGCTCTCGGGGCCAGCCCCGGGCGAGGGTAGGCAATGGAACACTTTCGCGGCTGCAAAAAGAATCCCGCGGCATGGGGGCGGCATGCCCAGCCCGCACTGGCGACTGCATCTGGCCTGCGCGCTCTGGCGACTGCACCCTCCTGCGCCTCCTGTCGGCGCGCCGCTTGGAGGATGAAGCCAGGCGTCTCCCCCGAGGCTTCCTCGCCCCGCGGGGCCCTGATGCTGCAAAATCCCACCAGCCCTCTAAGGCGTAGGGGGTTTAAGGCGTTTCCTCTTCCACCCCTCCTTCTCTCCCTTCTGGGGCGGGTTGATCAGCGTTCCTCATAAATGAACACCCCCTCCCCCAGGCGACTGGTGGCCAACCCAAAATCACGAGGGCCCCCCGCCCACCACCCCTTGCACGAAAATATACGGAGCACACTCTGCCTCCAAATCCAGAACATGCGTAGCCAACCCGATGCGGCCTCCCCCCACCATCCCTGTGAAAAAAACAATACTGACTACACTTAGCGGCGGCGACGGAGGCGGCAACGACGGCGGATTAACCCCCAGCAGCTGCCCATCCAAAGACAACTGCTGAATATGCTGAGGCTCGGCCCAGACTCGGGCGCCACGCATGCGTTGGGAGGGCGGGCGGGAGTGAGCGAGACAGCTTGCGGGCGGGGGAAGGGGTCTTGACTCCCCCCACCCACCCCCCACCCCCCTGGACCTGGACGAGGCGTTTCGCGAGCGGTCGGAACGTCCAAAACGGCCTCGGCGAGGAAACCAAAATCATTGATTGGTTTCACATCGGTTTTGGTCCCACGTTGACCTTTTGAGGGGCGAGGCGAAAAATAAGCCCCCCTCTTCTTTGATCGATGTCCTCCGAGATGGCCCCACGAACGCCCCCAAGGCCCCCACCCAGGGGCGCCCCAAGAAGGCCCCAAGAAGTGGCCAGGTGGCCCCAAGAGGCACCCAAGAAGTCCCCAGGACGCCCCCAAGGGCCTCCCAAGAGACCCGAGAGGCCCCAAGAGGCCTCCCAGAGGCACCCAAGACGCTCCAAGAGGCCTCGGCGACAATGCCAAAATCATTGTTAGTTCTAAGATGTTGGCCACACGCTGGCCTCCTGGGAGGGGGGGGGGGGGGGGGCGCTGCTGGAGATGACTCCAAGAGCGCCTGGGAGAGCCCCAGATTACCTCCAAGATGGCTCAAGATACCCCTAGATGCCTCAAGATGTCCACCACGATGCTCCAAGAGGCCCCAAGACCGCTCCAAGACAGCCCAAGTAGCCAACGAGCTCCCCCAAGAGGCCCAGAAGAAGCAAAAACCCGTCCAAAACCAAGGGATATAAATGTGCATGGCTTTCTCGCCTTTTCGATTCCGATGGCCATCCGAGCCTTCAAGATGGCTCCAAAATGGCCCAAGAGGGCTCCAAGAGCGCCCCCACGGCTCCCAAGAGCGTCCCACGAGGGCCCCAAGGCGCCCAGGAGGCCCCAGGAGGCCCCAAGAGGCGCCCAATAGACCCCCAAGAGGCCCCCAAGAGACCCCCAAGAGGCCCTGATTTTCCGAAGCACCCAAGACGCTTTAGGAGGCGTCCAGGACCGCCCAGAGGCCCCCAAGACGCTCCAAGAGGCCTCAAGGCCTCCACTGGGGGACCTTTCCTCTGCGTGGTGCCCACTTCCCTGATCGAGGCCGCGGCCACGAGCGAAGGCGCAGGCGGCGCCCGAAGGCGCAGGCGGGGCAGGCGGGTTACGAGCTAAACCTGATTAACTAGCGCGCGCACTAACGGCTGCCGGAGCTGCCGCCGAGGGACGCCAGGCGGCGCCGGGGGCTGAAGACAGGGCTGCAAGAGCTGCCAGGTATGCCACGCGGCCGAAGTGCAACCATCCCGCACCCTGTCGCGCCAGGCGCCAGAGGTGCTGGTGGGTTTTTTTGCTCGCTAGCGCAAGCGGAGGAGCTCGCGCGCCGTCACTAAGATCCGGCGAAGACCTAGAAAGCAGCGGCTGGGAACGGGGCAAGGCGCGCGCAGCGACCGAAAAACCGAAAAAGGAACAGCGGCCAGGCCCGCGCGCCGAAGAGGGACCCCCCCCAGAAGGCCTGTCTTCGGCGAGCTTGCCCCCAGCGACCTTCACCTCGACGAACGCGCCCTCGCCAAACTCGCCCTCGGCCACGCGTCGGCGCGGGCCGAGCGTTAACCGCGGGCGCCGTCGTCGAGTCCGAGACCTGCGACCACGCCGCGTGGGCCAGCCCCACGAAGGAGCACTCTGAAATCCTACATCAACCAGCGACGCGCCCGCCCACTCAGGCGACGCACCACGGAGCAGAACCATCGCGCGGGGCCAGCGAAGGGCGACGAGTGCGAGCCGAGGTTGCACCGCGCAGTCAAGAGCACCCCCCGAGTAAGACAGCCGCATGGAGACGGCCCTCGCGCTGACACCGGTCGCAATGACACGGGGTAGCGCCAGGGGCCACTGACTGTGGACGCAGCTGCCAGCCGCAGGAGCTCAAAGTGGGCAAGGCCGCGCACCTCCTGCGGGGGGGCAGCCGCAGGCAGACGGACGGGCCAGACAGCTCGGAGGGGCAATCGATACACATCCTGGCACAAGCGCCCCAGTAGGGAGCGCCGAGGGCTAAGGCCGCACCGCGGGCGGGGTCGCAGCGAACAGCCAACAAAATAAAAACAAAGGGCGTGCCCGCGCGCCTCCTGCGGGGGGTAGCCGCGGGAGGGGGGCGGGCCAGACGGCCCAGGTAATCCATTGCCTGCTGGCCCCAGCGCCCTGGGGGGGGGCGCCGAGGGCCGCGGACGCACCGCGGGCGGCGGTCGTAGCTAAAGGCGCAGAGCGAGCAGCACAGCGGGCAAGCCCACGCCCCGCCTGCGGGGGGGGCAGCCGCAGGAGGGTGAGCGGGCCAGACAGCTCGGCCGAGGTACATCGCACGGCGCAGCGCCCATGGAGGGAACGCCGAGGTCCGGGCCGCACTGTGGGCGGCGGTCGCAGCTAACAGCCGCAGAAAGTGAACTCGGCGGGCGCCCGCGAACAACCTGCGGGGGGGCAGCCGCGGGAGGGGGGCGGGGAAGATGGCCCAGAGAGCTCATCGCCCGCTGGCCCCAGCGCCCCGGGGGGGGCGCCAG